TTAAAACTACGCTACTGAGAAAGTCCCTAACTTATTTAATGAATATGAATTTTTTTTGTATTTTATTCAATAGTAGACAATACTATACATCCTTTTTTAATGATTTTCATTCTAATATTTTTTTAAAAAAAATATGGAACTAGTCAGTTAATTTATTTTGAATAAATTTTTAGAGAAAAGAATAAAACTTTTGTGTCAAGATATCCATTAAGTAGAAACAGTTGATTAATAATGATTAGAAAAGTTCCACGTCTAGGTCTTTTTTTATCTTGCTTTAAGCTTATGAATTACTTAAAAAATTAAATAGTTCATTCAACTCTAGACCGGAAGTATTTTTTCAGAAAAAAAAAAATGGTTTGATCAGATAATATGTTTACTTGGTCAGCTTTTATTTAGTTATTTGAAAATATTCAATTAATAAACATAAAATTGAATGAATGTCTCTTGAATATAAAATTTATCTATCTATTTGAAATAATAGCTTCGGATAATAAACATCGCATTAAAAAGTTATTTAAGATAATACTTTATTTTAAAAGGAATACTAAAAATTAAGCGTTCAAGAAATAAAGAAGCTAAAGCAGAATATTATTTTTATAAAATATTTTTAGTGATAAATTGTCTAAATATAGATTAATAAGCTTTTAAATATAAGTTTCATCTCAAGCTTTTGTAAAATTACATAGGAAAAAAGTCTTGTAAATATAAATATATGATCACTGATTTTTATAAAAAGGTTATCTTGGTTGCTTTATTTTAAAAATCAGGCTTGCTAAGAATTTGAATGAAATTATTTTGAAAACAAGAAGGGATATTTGAAAGGGAAATATTTGACCCATTTTATTTTTTTTTAAACTTTCGTATACATGTATTTTGCTTTTTCATTTTGGTTTTTTATGTTCTTATTTGTTTTTTATGTTCTAAGCAATCACCATAAATTCTGTTAAACTGGGTGGTAAAGTGCTTTGTTTTTTATCTCCATAAATTTAAAGTAGATAAATTAGAAGGAAAAGGAACAGTATATAAAGTGACAAGTTGTTTCTGTTTAATTTGGATTTTCTATTTTAGAATTTAAATCTTAGTGTATTTTTGTTGTTGAGAAAAATGACTACGATTTCAAAAAAATCTTTGTTTTTAAAAGTTTAATTTTGTTTGTCTAGAAATTTTTTCTAATGTAATTTCTAAGATTTAAATTTTATTCTTTTATGACTAACAAGAAAAGAATTATTCTATATAAAGCTAATTTGAACTTAATGTTAAAAACTAATTTGTTAAACGCTAGAATTTTTATTTGATATTTTGATATATATACAAAAAATCTTGTATTGTTTTTGGGACATGTGGTCCAAAAATTTGTAAAAATTTTTTTATAGTGATGTTTGTTTTGAAAACGTTGCAAAGCAATGCACAGAAGGTAGAAAATTGAAAAATTTATTCCGGAACAATCTTACCACATTTTATAAACAATTTGGGTGAAGATTTCATAGCATGTCCCCAAAACAAAACAAGCTTTTTTTATATATATCAAATAAAAATTCTATTGCTTAGCAATTCAGTTTTTAACATTAAGTTAGGTAATGCAATAAAAAGGTGTGAACAAATCGAGCATTTGTTATGTTACAATAAACTTTTGTTATACTTTTCATCATGCGCATTCATTGTCATAGTAATTAGCGCACCAGGAAAGATTTGTCAGAATGAAACGAAATTTTACATACGCCAGTACAACATTCGTATAAGTAAGTGATTAAAATAATCAAAGTCAAGTGATTTTTTATTTCCGGAAAAAATACAAACGAATGAAGGTTTTAATACCTTCAAGGGCCACCTTTAGCCTAAACGCTGGATGGATCCCTTGTTATGTCCTGCTGCCTCTCGATCCATAGTTGCTGTAAAAACACAGCTAAATCTACTTAACTCGAAGGCTGTCTCAAGTGTCCCAGATATGCTAGTTCGGTAGCAAATATTCCAGATATGCGTGTTTGTTTTTACAGTGTTACACAGCAACTGTGGAACGAGATGCTGCTGGACATCATGAGGGACTCGCATGCCTTAATGCAGGATTGCATCGCATCCTGCATTCGCGGAAAAGGTGGCCCTAGAGGGTACTAAATCCTCCATTTAATTGCAATAAATTATCACTTTGTTTTGATTTTCATAATCACTTACTTATACCAATGTTGTACTTGAATATGTAAAATTTCGTTTCATTCTGATAACTGTTTCTATGTGCGCTAATGTTTATGACAATTAGTGTATTTTAATAAATTCTAATTAAAAACACGAAAAAGAAACATCCCGAAAAATGTTGTAAGACCAGTTCAACAAACTAATAAACAACAAGCTAATGCCAGAGCATTAAATACTTCGGAAATCTTATAATTTATATCCCCACTGAGTAAAAACTATGGTCAAAACTACCAGGATATGATAAAATTTAGCGCGTTTGTAGCTTCGTGAGAATACTAAAAAAGCGCAGTGCTTTTTACCGAAGCTCTTTAATCATATTTTTTTGGTAAAATTAACTATAAAATGTGTAAAATATGTCTTTTTTTACCATGCTGTTTGGTAGTACACGTGGTAAAGTTTGGTAATTTTAGCCAAAAGTCATTAATTTTAACATTACTAGTATAGTTTGAGATCAAAAAAGTTTGATAATCAGTATTTTATTTCGTAAACGCTTGCTAACTTTGTTTCTCGTCAATATATTGCTTTTTTTTCATTGGAAGCTATACGTTAACATGTACCAACTTTCAAAATTTAAAAACAAAATTGCATTTGTTAATGTACAATTGCGAGGACAAGATTGAACTACATCCGTAGTTTAACTGTTACGCATCAGGACTGTTCCAAAATCCCATAATGGAAGTGTAAATGTTTCGGGTCTGAATCCCATTGTTACCTGGGTGCATCTATATATTTATATTTAAGAGAAAATATTGGTATGCACACATGCGCAAAGAGAACACTCATTACAAATTTTGATTATATACCCTTGTCAAGTTGAAAAATAGATAGCATAAAATAAAGACAGCACAAGCATACATCCTGGGACACGGTGGGATTCGAACCCACAATCTCGAAGTATCAATAGATGCATCTTTGTGATGTCTTTCTCTCATTTGATCAATCTGTTTCTCAATTTGATAAATGCTTATAATAAGAAGCATGCATAAGTAAGTGTATAAATAAACAAATAACTCTTAAATAAGTTACGCTTTTCTTTAAATTATTTTTTACAGCACTGTTGTTTTTTCACCAAATAAAATACTAGTACATGAAGTATTTTATAAGCAAATAAAATACTTAAAAAATTGTTGTAGGAGGCATTCCTTTTTTTGTTACTGATAAACGTTATAGATCGAAATGATTATTTTTAGAGATAGAAAAAAAGTAAAGCTTGTTAATGCGTAATCGATAAAATAGTAATTATTTTCTGAAACTGCATTTTATTTTAACCAGGTGGAAACAACATTCTATTTTCGGAAATGATGTATCAGATTCATATATTGAGCTTTTCTGAATTAAAAAAAAACACTATTCTTTTCTTATGAGATAAATGTAAAAATTGTGAGATGGTATTGTTAGAAAAGTTAATTATATTTCCAATAATCCATTTCCAATATATATGTATATATCTAGCAGTAATTTACCGTTTTTCCATTTCGTTTCGTTCACCGATTACAACATGTGATAGGGGCTGATGGTGGACATTTCGAAATAATAGTAATGCGATGCTTTTTAATCAGAAGATTCTGACAAAATTGATTTTCATTTGCCTTCTTTTTATTTCTAGGTTACTTACTA